TTAAAAACAGCCATGGCCATTTAGTCATCAGCCGGCGTGGGCGTTGCGGCGCGGACAGAATGATGTATCACTTGGTCCAAGTAAATGACAATTTTATTCCTCACCTCTACTTTCCCGGCCCACTGTTCTCCATGGCAACTTCAGATGCAGTCAGTCAAACTAACTAGTGGTTTCTTGTGAAACTCTTTTATCACTGTCTGATGTTGAGAGATTTGTTTCCTTTTTGAATGAAGCACAACAGCTGGTGGTCTGGCTGGAAAGGAATCCAATGAGATCTTATTTTTTCATTGAATTCATCTGGGGTTTTCAAACACAATATATTTGCTCATGGGATTGATTTTTAAGTTCTTATTCAATTTCAGTGGCCGCAATTAGCCAACCACAAAGACCCCGCTCCAATCTCTGTGTGGAGTGAGAGGACAAATGCCCAAAAAAATAACAATTGTAAACCGCTTTGTGACTCTGGTCTATGAAAGACGGTATATTATTAAAGATTACTTACTTACTTACTTACCTTCATTATTTAGTTTGCAATATTTTGTTTACAAAAGCAAATTATCTAGTTGCTTATGATGCACTAAAAACATGTACTTTGGGCAAAAATCCTCCAGCTCTGGTCCGGGCCAAGCCGGGCTTGGCTGATTTGTCCCGGGCACTCTACTACAGTGACCCCTGCTCTTGACAAAGGCCCTAGAGGCAATGAAGGATGGGTCAAATGCAGGGGACAAATTCCATACAGGGACAATAAAGATTAACTTTAACTTTATGTTATAAATCCGGCTATCCCTGTGTTTAGAGCTCTGAAATTGAGCTTTGGACGGCTCACTGGTGCGGTGGTTAGCACTGGTGCTTCACAGCAAGAAGGTCCTGGGTTCAACTCCAGCTCTTTCCTAACCCTGCGTATAAGCGTAAGTTTCCTCTGGGTGCTCCGGTTTCCCCTACCACTAAAACATATACAATAGTCCAGCATGAAAAAGCGTTTGTGATTGTAGACTTGTTATCCCAAGGCTACAGTCTGGTGTAGCTACAGCTTCTGCTGTTCATTAAAACACAAATAAACATTTTAAAAAACAAAATCCTTGATACATAACAGAAATTGCAGCTCGAATAATAATCACAATGATATCAAATCGCACAATTAGATCTTTCTCACATTGCAGCCCTATACTTACTAGTCATTTACTACCACTTATCATAAATGCTAACTCGCTAATAGCTCTCAATAGTGTGTATCATTTTGAAGCCACACTGAAGTCCTGTCTGCAGAGCGTGCAAGCGAGGGCGGCAGGAAACACAACAGATGCCCTCAGTGTGGGCATCTCCAACAAGGCCTGTAATTTGCTGCATAATAGTCGACGCCAGTGCCGCTAGAGGCAGCTCTGAGGGAGAGCGTAGAAGAGCGGAGAGAGGGCGCTCCATCATGGAAAAGGGAGCTCCTGTCGACTGCAGTGGTCCAGGACAAAGCTGAGAGCTCCCAGACGCCCTGTATGATTAATGACTTATGGCCGCACTGTGTGGAAGCCTGGTAATTAGCTACAGGCTGATTAAAGACAAGTAAACTTCTGCTGATAACCCGATTCTGTTTCTCCCCAGCGCTGACACTGGCATGTGGAAGCTCTTACTGCCAGGGTTGCAAGAAACAGACCAACGTTGAGTATGATGAATGTAGTCTCCAACAGGCGTATACAGGCTCTAATTTAAAACTATTTAGCGTGTGACATATTGGCATTGTGCTCTCTCTGTCTCCCTCTGTTCATGTTTGCGGTCTGCAGTGCTGTCCAAGTTTCAGGGGGCTGTTGTTTTGAGTTGGTGCCTGGCATATTCATGAATAAAGTTTTGTACGAGGCCACCCCCTCCTTTTTACCCCTCTGGTTGATTTTCTCTACTTAGATTTTCTTCTGAGCATTTGCATTTTCTGTATTAGCGAACAAGTAGAATCACGGCCTGCCAAAACAATTCATCAGCTCCAATGTTTCATAGTCCCGGCTGCCTGTTTGAGGGACAGGAGAGCTGAGGCCGCGGCTGACAGCATTACTGGATTTACCTTATGAGACTACATGCATAGTAGCTTTAAACCAATAGAAAAGTCTCCAAGTTCTCCAGCCAAAAAGAATCCATTCTTGGTTCCAAAGCTTGTCTGTGTAGTTTCATGGAGAGGGGATTTTCCTCTGAGGTAAACACAGGAAAGAAAAGAATAATGTGAATGGTTGCAATAATAAAGCTGATGTCAGTTGTTTTACTGTTAGACAAAGAGAAAGAGCTTTGTTACCAAACAGATGATGAGCTGTCGCTGAGAAGTTTGGGGATTCTTGTGACGACTCGGAGAAAAAGAATTTCCGTCATACTGTCCATGTGATTCTAATATATCGAGATATCACTTTACAGATTGTAAATCCAGTGATTTATATGTCTTGGATAGTTTACTCAATATAAATCTAAGTGTTTTTTGGTAACAAAAACGAGAAAAAGGGCTTTGTGACGTGCCATTGGAAAGAAAAGAAAATGTAGTTTGCGATTTTCTACTTATTGATATGAGTAGAACACGCTGAAAGACACTTGTGTAGCAGAAAATGTGTTTATTTGATGTTTGAAAATATGTGACTGCTAATTCCATTTAATTCTTTCACATTCATTCACAAGGTCCATACAAAGAGTTAATTTACAAAACAGATGTCTCCGTTTTGGAAATTGGCCAAAAAGTTGTATTCCACAGGCTTCAATCTTCAAAATGTTTAGATTTTGGTAGAACATATGAAAAAAAAATCTCAAGAAGCGGCAAAACTTTATTTGTATGGCACTAAATAGATTGTAAAATTTTAAGCCAATCCAAATATTTTTTCCTAATTGCACTTTGGCAAATGACCTATAATTTTGGGGCAATATTCCATTAATGTACAATAACAGAGGCAACATATTTTAGAAAAGTAAAATGAAGTGGTGGCATCTCAACAAACTATGTCTCCAAGTGAACTAATAATATTATACCAATCACAGCATTCTGTCTCTATAAGCTATGCTAATACTAAGCTAACCACATGTCGGCACTTTCCCACAACGTTTACCGACAGTGCGTCACAACTCATGCTCAACTTCAATAATAAATGATGAACTTTTCTAAACTGGGGAGCCATACCTAACCTAAAGTACATCCACCTATTGACATTAGTAGTACTTGTCATTGTATTAGTAACAGTGGGATCAATCCAGGGCAAACTAGTTAAGCTATGGCAACAACAAAGCAATTATTTCTGCAGAATAATACATTCCATCTCCATTAAAACAGCCTTCACTCCCCCTGCTGGTTGTTGGTTAAAAATACAATTAAAAAGAATCATGAGAAGTGCATCAGTACTCTGGGACTTGTAGGAGCTCAGCAGAGAGCATGTTTCTCAAACTAATTGTGCCCCGTAATTTGTCCGAGGTGAGTGAGAAATGAGTTGAAATGAAACACAGGCAGCCTCAGTGTGCGGAGAGAGGGAAGGACACGACCAGGGGGCACTGAGCGTGGCGAGATGAAATGCCTGGCCACCCACTCTTGGCCTTTTATCACCCGCCTCATAATTAGGTTGGTTAACATAGCGCCTTGTATGCACTCATATTGACTGGGAGCTTAATCACATTACTATCGAGTTCCTGTCCCTGCTCGCCCCAGGTGACACTTATAAGTCCAGAGTTATGGCCATAACCTATGGGAGGAAATTAGCCTCGGACACAAGTTTGTTCTTGCTTTCTATCCAGTGTAAAAAAGTGTAAAAATATTTAGCGGGCTGGGCAGGCGACACGGCGGTGAGGAATGGACCGGCAAGTACAATGTTCGCATAACCAGTCGCACACATGAAAAATGTAGGAAGAGCAGAAAGAGGTGCCACGCATGTTACTTTGGCTGGCACTCCATTAGGCCTGATAGACATTTCACTTACCAAAGTCAAATATAACAGTCTAACATTCATTAATATGAGGAAGGGTCTGGGGAATCAAACCCACCATCTGGTTAAGACGACAGAATAATCTACAACTCATGATTAGGTCTAAGGAGTGGAATTTCACTTTAATCTTTTTCAGGGCTTGAAATTTCCATCTGCGCGGCGCGACACATCATTTTTCTTCAAGACAAATGTGCTGTTTTTCATGTTCCAAAATTAGATCAGAAGAAAACGATTAATCATGTCATGGCCTGGGAAAGGAAACAAAGATCTGATTTTCCTCTCCTCCCTCACTTTCTGCACCTCCCTCCCTCCCCACCTCTCTCCCCCAGCCACACTGTAAGACCTCCTCCTCCCTCCCTCCTCACCTCTCTCCCCTAGCCACACTGTAAGACCCTCCTCCTCCCTCCCCTCCTCCCAGCCACACTGTAAGACCTCCTCCTCCCTCCCTCCTCACCTCTCTCCCCTAGCCACACTGTAAGACCTCCTCCCTCCCTCCTCCAGCCACACTGTAAGACCTCCTCCCTCCCTCCTCCCCTCTCTCCCCTAGCCACACTGTAAGACCTCCTCCCTCCCTCCTCCAGCCACACTGTAAGACCTCCTCCTCCCTCCTCTCTCTACCTCTCTCCCTTCCGCCTGCTCTGTGCTCTATTTTCAGCCTTGTAGCGGACAATACTCATGAGCTATAGCTTCCTACTTGCTAGCATTTGAAAAAGTGTTTCATTCAACGTGAACTTCAAAAGACAAAACACGTAAGCTTGATGATTAATATAGAATGACATGGCATCTTCAATTAGCATGGCCTTCATTTCGCCTGCGCCCTCCCTACGGCGGTCAACAACAGATGGCGACCTGTTTGTATGTGACACCACAACCAAATCTAAAGCAAAGAACAAGTCACCAGGACTGCAAATTAGTGAGGCCACACAACTGTCAGGTGCTGGCCTCCTCTGACAGTTGTAGCCCATTACAGGAACATTGATGTTTTCACAGTGTGACAAAAAGGATTCCTTTTTCCCCTCCTTACAGAGGACCTGTCTGTCAGCCAGCTCTCAAGTCATAACAAATCACTGGCACTCAGCTGAGGCGGAGCATTGGGAGCGTCAGGGGAAGATAAATGACCTGCAGGCCTTTGAAGTGCTTTGGCAGTTCAGATGGCTCGGCGGCGCTGACAGAGAAATATACACAACAGCGTAACCAATAATGAGAACATTAAACATTCCTGCCTCCTGACAGGCTGACAGGAAAGCCCAGCCTGGCATCAATCATCTTCCGAGGCATAACCTTGACAATTAGTCTCCTCTCTGCCTCCAGCTCTCACCCCTTGCTCTCCAGACTCCAATACCCAGACTGCACTAGCTGGCAGGCTGGGGGCACATGGCGGGCCCTGGATGACAGCAGGATGCAGACAGGAGTCAGTGGACCAGCGCACATATGTACAGTAGGTGACATGAGACGTGGACCCAAACGTCTTGTGACAAGGCGACTATGTCAGGACACTGCAGGATTTATGGTGTCATTTGAGGAGGACGCAAGAGTCACGCCATGTGTTTGTGAGTGTGTTTTTTCACCTCAGCAATAAAATGTAATTACAGAGTTCTCACAAATGTTGGGACAGTTTAAATATAGACATAAATGTGACTGCCTAGTGGTCAAAGCCTATTATCTTGTGCAGTTCTTGACATTTTGTACAGTATCACAACAGAGCGCTTAAGGGGATATTTTCTCCCTACTGCTGTCAGCTTCAATAATTAAACACTTTTTTAAAAGAGGGGGTTTACTCCGGGGCTATACATTTTAGATAAAAAATCACTATTGACGATTGATTGTATGTATGTCTTTTGTTTGTGTATCGGCTACTGATGTGAACTTGATTTTCCCCTTCTGGCCTGAATATAGTATTGATCTACGTTGTCTTCAAAAGTATTGACAATATTTAAATTTCTTTGTTTATGAGGAACTTTTGTACAGTGTTATGTTGTGTGTACATACACGTGCAAATAGATATACAGTACATACATTACCTATACAATCAAGCAACAATATTTGCTTCACCATAGTTTCTCCATGTGTTAGTATATTTATAATTTCAATATATATTTACAAATTCATTTCTATTTCCAATTTGTCAGCTCAAAATGGAGCGGGAAAGTGGGAGATATGAAGGTGACAGGGTGAAGTTCTACTCTTATTTAATCTACAACAAAACAAAACATTTCGGTCTGTGGATTCTGAACTCAACCCTTACCATGACATCACTTGCAATGAAATGCAAAGTAATGCCTGATGCACTTTAGCACTGACACGCGTCCAAAACCAGGTCCAAACACACATGTCTCTCAATAGGCACTGACCCAACTGCTTGCTAAGTCCCTTGGGTACAGCGGGGATAAAGTACAGTATTTCACTTATGTTTCCTCCATTAGCCATCAGCATGTAAATCAACGCAGACAGCCTCACCCCAAAATGTTTATAGTCTCCCGTTTCCAGCACTTGTGCACAGCTCTGGCCGGACATTTTGTTGCTGCACCAGAGAAGAGATGATTTATGTGGAATGAAGACATTTCCCCTTTGACTAGCACATTCGCACAAAAGGTATGTCAAGGATGTGAGCCTCGCTGTACAGGCAACCTTTCAAGAGAGTATTTTTTACCCGCTTATTGGAAGAGCAATAAATATCTGGGCGACAGGGCCTTCTCACAGTTACAAAGCTTACCTGCAACCGAGCTGGATAATTAGCAGGCCCTGAAGATGATGTACGACTTTCATTACCCTTTGGGACGGGGCAAACTAAATGAGGACACAGCTAATTGCCGTGCAAAGCAGTCTGGCATGATAGGGAAAATCGCCTCTCTCTCTCTCTCTCTCTCTCTCTCGCTTTCATTCCTCCTCCATGTCCTTTGCTCTGGTGCAAAAAGGAGGGACTTTTGCGGTTGTAGGGCTGTGATCTCCTTCTTTTGCCTACTTCCGTACCCACAAGAGTTCACGGGCTGTCCATAAATCAAGAGCTGCTTACAGACCAAACTGCCCTGACATGCAATGAGCGGGCAGGCTGCCTCCATGCTGACGACACAAAACTGGACTAAAAGACTATTGCAGTACAAGAGTGGACAATGAGGAGTCCCAAGATATGTCAGCAGAAAATGTTAAAACAATAATTATACTATAACACCAATCACGGTTGAGGTTCAACAATTGTCTACGGTGCAGTGCCTTGTTTATTTTAACTTTATCTAGCGTTACTGCAGCTTGTTTAAAAAGTTATTTAAAAGCTGGGGTATCTAACTTTTACACCACAAAAGGTAAACCATGTAATACAATTTATGTCAGTAGTTCTTGCCTATAAAACAGCAAACTATTTTCTGCTTGCATTTACGTTTTCACTGTGTTACATTTTTAGATCAGCTTCAAATAGTGACTCACAGAATCTAGTCTGTAAAAGATAATATGTTTTCTAGTATTTTTTTTAATGCCTTTTTATTTACTTTGGAGTATAAGCCTCAAATATGAACAATCTTGCTTTTGAGGGGGTCCTCAAAATTGCACAAAATGACACAAAGAGTAGACACAAAAATAACATAGACACACACACACACACACACACACACACATAACATATCATATAACATCTATTATGATTTAAAGTGATTAAAGGTGATATTAATAATTTAGCCTTTGAGTCAATAGATACATTTAGGTTCCTTCCTATAGGTTCCTGCTCAAAAACACAAGGGTCCCAGGGGTGTTGTACAAGAAGACTGCATGTCGTGGTCCGATTTAACTTTTGTATAAATCTTTTTCTGTTGGGACAAACAACAAGTATTTTTATGAGAAAAAGGGGAAAAAGTTAGGTATCCCAGCTTTAATGCTTGTTACTTTGTTGTATTTTTTTCTATTTTTTCTATAATAGACTATATCTTGTCCAGTTCAGTCCGTTTCCCTGACCTCTCTTTGCCATCTTTCTGTCCAGCACATACTGAACTTCTTAAACAAAGTCATCGAGGCGTGGCAAATCCAAAACAAAAAGCCGGTTACAATCATAAGATGTTCGAGCTGTGCCAAGCGATCTGGGGGTGGACTGTATGGTGAGTGGAGGGGATAGCAGGACAAGCTATAAGTGGGCCCAAAGTGCTTCCAGAGCCTGCCCCCTGGAAGGTTTCAGAGGTGGGAGCTAATGTCTAAAATGGTGGGGTTAAGTATGCTGCCAAGTCCATCCACAGTCCTGTTCATTATGGGGCAGGAGCAGAGTCTGTTGGGGATGAGAGGGATTGGAGGTGGCACAGAGTGGAACTGATTACAACCTTGGTGATGGGACTTGAGCCGTTTTCAGCAAAGTCGCCAGGAAACATTTTGTCATTGGATTGACTTATTTTGCCATTGTAACTTTTATGATTTGTATAGTTGTTGGGGTGTCACAAGAAAGACTGATAGATCCCAGTAAAAATAGGTAGTAGTATGTTCACAGTAGTCCTGGTTTTCCGGTTTTAAAATGTGATTAAACGTATCAGTGTGTGTTTGTGTGTTTAATTTACAATTTCGAAAAAAATATTCATTGCGTTAAATTTGAACATTGGAAAAGGGGTGTGGTTAATAAGTGTCTTCCCATTATCCTTTGAGATATGTCGATTTGTCATAAAACATGAATAATATATTACATTTCCTGTCTTTTGCACACCCTAAGTGGCTATTTTTTGCCAAATGTGACATGTAAATGTTTCTATTGAGAGTTTACTTGTTGGTTCTGTGTCTGTGTGGTTTGGAAACATCACAGATAAAGAAAAGAGAGCTTTAAACAAGGTGCTCCGCTCTGCAGAGAGGACCGTGGGCTGTGAGCTTCCTGTTCTGGAGGTTCTTTATAAATCCAGACTTTTAAACAAAGCTCTTAGGATTGTCAATGACTCTTCTGGCCACCCTGGGAAAGCCATGTTCCAGCTTCTTCCCTCTGGCAGAAGATATCGCTCTCTGAGATGCAGGACATCTCGTTACGCTAACAGTTTTTATCCACAAGCTGTAATCAGTGTGAACAGAGCACTTTAATGATTTGCACTTGTTTTGAAACTGTTTTAGTCGATCGATTTCACAGTGACATTTGTTTACTGTTTTATTTGTTTTATTTTTTGTCTTTTAATGTTGTTTTATGTCTGTATTTGTCTGTGCACACTGGTGACTTTTGCTAATGTATTCCAATGTGGTGTTTTTACTGCAAATGGCAAATAAACTGAATCTGAATCTGAATCTGAAAAGAAAAATGTATGCATATGTATGTACAATGCATTGGGTGTTTGATATTGAATTGACTATGACATACTTAATACATTCATATATTCATTGATAAGAAAAAAATATTATTCTTATAGTCTAAAGAAGGCAGTTATATAAATACTCATTCTATTTCCAGCAACACTACAAACTTTCTGCTAACTTTAAAAAAAAGCATAATCCATTACCATCCTGTTTGTTTTCACGAGTTAATTATTAGAGTGACTATAATAAAGTATAAAAATTATGCATTATTATCAATGGTACTGCACCTTTTAATAAAAACCTAAAGAAATTGACATCCTGACAAATTATTATACAACAAAATATTTAGGCTACACTTTGTTCCCAATCATCCCAATTATATAAAAATAATATTGAATCTAATATAATAGTAATCTAATGGAGGACATATGTGCTGTAACTACTCTTTGGTCTTTTCTTTGCTAATGCCACAGACCTATAAAACACGGCCGCTCTATTACCGAATGATTGTGCCAAGAAATTAATTTACTGTGATCTTGAGTTATTAATTCCCCTCTCAGTGCTCGCCAATGAGCTCTTTTTGAAACAGTTTTACCTCAAACTAATGAAGAGACCAATGTCTTTGGTCGGTTAGCTGAACGTTGCTAACCTCGGAGAAACCTAGAAAGGCTTTGGAGCTGTCAGGGGGGCTTTTGTTTTCCTTTGTCAGTCGCTGAGATCTAAGACATAAGAAGTTAGCAGCTAGCTTTGGTTGTACTTCAAAATGGCACGGTCATATGAGGACGCTGATACTAGAAATACAACTATTATTGGGCATTTTACCAAAAATAAGTTGCAAATTGTACCTCAGGGCATCTGTGTTTTCACCTCAACTTTTTCTTTTTTCTATTGATTGCAAGCTTCAAATCCCATTCCTGTTCGCTTTGTTAGAACTCATTGCTTGGGTTGCTGCTTATCCTGACAGTAGATGACCTCAGAGTGTTAGTTTAATTCCTCTTTGTCCCAATTGGAAGCGCAGCAGGAAGAAGAGTGGGCCTTGCCAATGTCTCTTTGTTTATCACAAGGTGAGAATTGTTTTTGTTCTCACAATTCTCACAACACAGCTCCCTCCCCGCCTACAGCTCTAGGGGGTGAAAGTATGACGCAGAGAACGATTAAATCTCAGATATCCTTGACTTCTTTACAGGTTCTTATTTTTGTGTGTTCTGAAGAGCAAACTCGTACCGAAGGAGGAAGAGAGCATGAAATATATTCAAGCTCAAGAATAGTTAGTGTACATCTTTTAATAATAAACGTGTTAAGATGTTTTACTGCTTGTATCTGCATAAACGTCTTCTTGTGAAGGGGCTTGGGCCATGTCCCACCGACCAAGACCCATGGGAAGATCCTCTCGAAAACGTCCTTACAGGATGGTCCAAAAGTTGGCTCTTGGCCCAAAGCTCCGTTCCACATGTGTGTCAATGCTGAGGGGGGTGGATTTTTTTGGGCCACTCTAGTTTAGTCGCTGTGACTTTTTCAAGTCACTCGTTCAACTTTTTTAAGTCTCGTCGGCTGAAGAGAGCCCCATTAATGCGTGAAAAAACACAGCATGCGCAGATGTGTTTTTTCACAATTTTCTTGAGGGCAGGACCACTCACGGCCATTTTGGATAGCTCCAACAGAGCACAATTTTTGGCCCATTAGTTAGAACGGTGGAGATAGGCGTGACTACGTCCGTTAATATTTACAGTCTATGGTCTCTATGTACCTGTGCTCCTTTCCCCTCGTTGCTGGTCCACTGTCTTTGTCTGTCTACGTTCTTGAGTTTTGTTTGGGTTTTTTATTCCTTTTTACCCTGCACATTTATTCATTATCATCATCAAATCTTTTTGTCCTCCCGCATGATGGTTTTAATCATACGTATATACTTGATTTTAAACTTTTGCACATCTTCAAAACTACAAACAAGAATTAATATTTTTCAATGATGTCACAATAGATCTAGCTTTAGACTTTCAGATAATGTCATGAAAAGGATAGTTTAGCACAAACTGCTTAATCCACGAGTCTTGGCTCTAAATCTCTAAATAAGCAGCACATGTTTCTAAGTTGCTGATCTTTGTTTTGAGACGTGTGAATTGAAGCCTTCACAGAAAAATTAACACAGACCTCATTCAAATCCACGAGGGCCATCCTTCTAATGCACAGCTGCTGGTCCTGATCAGTTGCTAAATAGCAGTTTGAGGACCAAGCCAAAGTGTCCGAAGTTGGAAGCCTCTTTTATAACATTTTCATTACAAAGTTACAAAGTGTTTTCTGACTTTTCATTTCATTGTTGCTGGCAATGAGGAAATAACAGGAACAAATGAATTACAACTCAGGCGTAATTCTAGCCCTAGCCAAGGCGGTTATGTAATCATCTAACAAATGAAACTGTATCCGCATATCGCCCAACTTTTTTTGAGAATGTATTTTTCATAAACTTGGGCCTGGCTGCTGAAAAACAGAACGAGTGGACTTTTGAATGAAACCTGACAGGCCTCAATAAATCACGCTAAATCACCAATCGATAACAAATGCATTCTAAATTATGAATAATGGCCCGGCGCTCATAAACCAACACAAGCACAACTCAGCAGGCGATTCATTTTGCGAGCGAAATAAACAGACACGTTTCTTTCACGACGCTAATAAATCTCCCCCTGAAAAACTCAAAGAACAGTCCATCTGCTTCCAATAATTTTTAATTTCCTTTTCTGTCCTGTCCCCATTAGGTATTCCACTGAGATATTTGGGAAATTCTTTCATTTACCTCTTCCCATATGCATCCAATTATTGT